GGCTGCGACAGAGGGCCTCTGGAGGAGGCCGGCGGCGACGCCGTCTCTGAAGGAGGAGGGCCCCTGGAGGGGGCCGGCGGCGACGCCGTCTCTGAAGGAGGAGGGCCCCTGGAGGGGGCCGGCGGCGACGCCGTCTCTGAAGGAGGAGGGCCCCTGGAGGGGGCCGGCGGCGACGCCGTCTCTGAAGGAGGAGGGCCCCAGGAGGGGGCCGGCGGCGACAGAGGGCCTCTGGAGGAGGCCGGCGGCGACAGAGGGCCTCTGGAGGAGGCCGGCGGCGACAGAGGGCCTCTGGAGGAGGAGGGCCCCAGGAGGAGGCCGGCGGGGACGCCGTCTCTGAAGGAAGAGGGCCCCAGGAGGCGGCCGGCGTCGCCGCCGTCTCTGACGAAGGAGGGTCTCTGGAGGTTGCCGGCGGCGACGCCGTCTCTGATGAAGGAGGGTCTCTGGAGGACGGCGACGCCGTCTCAGACGCAGGCACAGGAACAGCCTCAGAGGGGGCCGCCGACTGCGGCACAGGAACAGCCTCAGAGGGGGCCGCCGACTGCGGCACAGGAACAGCCTCAGAGGGGGCCGCCGACTGCGGCACAGGAACAGCCTCAGAGGGGGCCTGGAGCGCCCGCTGAGGGGCCGTGGAGGCTTGGAGCGCCCGCTGAGGGGCCGTGGAGGCTTGGAGCGCCCGCTGAGGGGCCGTGGAGGCTTGGAGCGCCCGCTGAGGGGCCGTGGAGGCTTGGAGCGCCCGCTGAGGGGCCGTGGAGGCTTGGAGCGCCCGCTGAGGGGCCGTGGAGGCTTGGAGCGCCCGCTGAGGGGCCGTGGAGGCTTGGAGCGCCCGCTGAGGGGCCGTGGAGGCTTGGAGCGCCTGCTTAGCTTTATTTCAGAGAGCCCTTCAGTAGCCTGCTCAGGGAAATCAGGATGACTCTGAACGGGCTCAGGGGTCTCAGGCGCTAGGCTAAACGGCCCTCCAATGGGCTCAGGAGTCTCTGGTGCTAGGCTAAACGGACCTCCAATGGGCTCAGGAGTCTCTGGCGCTAGGCTAAACGGCCTGATAACGGGCTCAGGAGTCTCTGGTACTGGGGAAACCGGCCCTCTAATGGGCACTGGAGCTGGGGAAACCGGCCCTCTAATGGGCACTGGAGCTGGGGAAACCGGCCCTCTAATGGGCACTGGAGCTGGGGAAACCGGCCCTCTAATGGGCACTGGAGCTGGGGAAACCGGCCCTCTAATGGGCACTGGAGCTGGGGAAACCGGCCCTCTAATGGGCACTGGAGCTGGGGAAACCGGCCCTCTAATGGGCACTGGAGCTGGGGAAACCGGCCCTCTAATGGGCACTGGAGCTGGGGAAACCGGGCCTCTAATGGGCTCTGAAGCTGGGGAAACCGGGCCTCTAATGGGCTCTGAAGCTGGGGAAACCGGGCCTCTAATGGGCTCTGAAGCTGGGGAAACCGGGCCTCTAATGGGCTCTGAAGCTGGGGAAACCGGGCCTCTAATGGGCTCTGAAGCTGGGGAAACCGGGCCTCTAATGGGCTCTGAAGCTGGGGAAACCGGGCCTCTAATGGGCTCTGAAGCTGGGGAAACCGGGCCTCTAAAGGGCTCTGAAGCTGGGGAAACCGGGCCTCTAAAGGGCTCTGAAGCTGGGGAAACCGGGCCTCTAAAGGGCTCTGAAGCTGGGGAAACCGGGCCTCTAAAGGGCTCTGAAGCTGGGGAAACCGGGCCTCTAAAGGGCTCTGCAGCTGGGGAAACTGGGCCTCTAAAGGGCTCTGGAGCTAGGTAAACCAGCCCGCTAAAGGGCTTGGGATGTGCTGGCTGACAGAGGACTGATGGAGGTGGAAGGAAAGGGAATAGATCCTCCCTTTGCCCATAAAAGTAGTCCCATAACTCTGACTCCTCAATATGTGGTGCTCTGACTGCAGTGGGTGTAATCATGGTGACTGAATTTAAACCTCTAACTCGAGGAGCCAACTGCTGGTCATGGAGGTGACGGCCAAGGCCATAGGGGAAACTGACCTGAAGGAGAGTGGGAGTGGAGGCGTCAGGCTGACCCGCCGGAGAGGGAGTGGAGGCGTCAGGCTGACCCGCCGGAGAGGGAGTGGAGGCGTCAGGCTGACCCGCCGGAGAGGGAGTGGAGGCGTCAGGCTGACCCGCCGGAGAGGGAGTGGAGGCGTCAGGCTGACCCGCCGGAGAGGGAGTGGAGGCGTCAGGCTGACCCGCCGGAGAGGGAGTGGAGGCGTCAGGCTGACCCGCCGGAGAGGGAGTGGAGGCGTCAGGCTGACCCGCCATGGATTTCTTCCCCCGGCGGCGCTTACGCCTGGAGGAGGCAGACGGCATGGGGGGACCAACAGCTGGTGAAGGTGGAGGAACCGGACTGGAGGCGATTGAGAGCAGAGTTGGAAGGAGGTGAAGTGATGGTTTGGGTGGTGGGGGTCTGTTGAAGAGCTGGGCGCTGGCTGCTTGGTGGTTCCACTCCAACTCTTCAAACAGTTCAGACAGCACTGGGGGAGAAATGAGTTTGCTGTTTGTGAGGAGAATTTGCCTTAGTTGGCCAGCTGCACTCACCCTCTCCTCAGGCGGGCTGAGATTGGCAATAGTGTCCAGAGCCTTTTCCAGCTTCAGAAAAAAATCCCTCAGGGTGTCCAGACTGGGCTCTGCTGGGTCCATTGTGGTTGGTTCCTAATGTCAGGGTTTGGTTGTGGTTTAGAGGACCCAAATGCAGAGGCATACAGGCTGAGGAGATTTCTGGGTGATTTAATGGGGCAAAACAGCAACAAAGGCAGGAATGCAAAAATCCAACTAATAATCAAAAGCAAACCAGAACAATGGAGACATCTGGGGAATACCAAACACGAGGAGCCAGGGAGAGACGAGGAATGTGGACAACAGCATGGGAGGACAGCAAAGACAAGGAACCAACAAAGAGTGAGAGCAGAGGGAGAGCATATATAGGAGACAGAGACAAAGGGAGGGCTAACGAGCAGACAAGGAACAGGTGTGAGAGGAGACAACGAGGGAGCCAAGGGGAAAGGAACATACACACACAAGAGGGCAAAAGAGGACAACAGAAAAACTTGAGAACTAATATAAATCTAGAAGTACAACAAAACTGGAATTAGGCTAATAAATCTAGAAAACAAGGAGCAAAGAAAAGAACAGCAGAACCACGACCATGACAGAAACATTAGTTCTTTCTGATCAAACATTATTAAACAGATATTTATCTACCAAGATAGGGCTATCTAGTTAAACTTACAGACCAGAAAAGATAAGCTATAATCAAGAAGCAGACAAGAAAGCCCTTTTAATGCTGGAGATTCACAGTTCAGCTGGGAGAAGCTGTTGAAAGGAGAACTGCTTGTCATGATCTCCATAAATCTAAACAAATAAGATTCTATGAGTAAAAATAATGCATTTCTTAAACAGAGAAAGTCAAACTGGTGGAACTTAGAATTAATGTATTAGAGATGAAAGATAAAAGCCAGACCTCGATCCATTTGAAAAAAAAAAAAAAACTGTGCCCAGACGTACAATTGATACTTGAAAAAAAGTCTCCACCTGGTTTGACTGAGCTAGAGCTGTTTTTATGAAAAACACAAAACCAATTAGAGGGAACATCAGTCTTTAAATTCTAAAAAGATCTGAAAGCCATTGCAAGACACTACGGACAAAAACAACCAGATGCCGATAAAAGTACAAGGCTCCTTTTAAAAAAAGTAACACTCAGAATTTCCCACTGCCATAAGTCATGGTCTAAAACAAAGCCTCAACTCTGTAATTTAGCCATACAAAGGAATGCTCGCTGCAAATCTATAAATCTATTTGCACACTAGCCTGAAACATTATTACACAGAAACTGCAAGTAGGTGTGGCAAATCTATGATGCAGCAAGGTCTACGTGTATGTGTGTGTGTGTGCGTTAAGGTCTACAACTGTTGAACTGTGTAATTAAGGCAATATCAGATCTTGTTAGGAGGGTAATCCCTCACACACACCCACACCGAAAATACGGGCATGCAAGCTGCTCCATGTGACCACAGACATGATCTCAGTGGGGTTAATATTTCATCGGCCTACGCTGCATCATTTTAAGCCAACAATGTGGGTTTAGAGATGGAAACGCTTCTAGGACAGCACTATCACAAATACAACTGGAATGGCACAAGGTTTCTCCCAGGGGGGAGATAAAACACCACTTTATCTGGACTAAAATGCCTGGTTCAGTCCAGCTGTACATTTTTTTTTTATTATTGTTTTGTATTTAACAGCATAATCATTTGAGACTAACTTCTGATTTACGCTTTAAGACAGCGGCTATAGCATATGTTTTGGTCCTACACCTTTAATGACGTTGGTGATATCTGCTGGGAGCACTGACATTCTACACAACGCTGTCATCAGGAGACAGACGTCTGCTGCTGGCAAGGAGAAAGGTGTGTTTTTCAGAATGACCCTGTGTTTACAAGAATTGGCGTCAAAGAAGAAGTAGTAAAACCGACCCACCCCTGTATGCAGTTTAGATTATTTTACCTATTTTCTAATTTTATATATATATATATATATATATATATATATATATATATATATATATATATATATATATATATATATATATATATATATCATGATTTTCATTCATGACACTGAATCCCGAAGGCAGACATCGTAAAAAAGGGCGTAGAAATTCCTTCTAAAATGCTTAAAGCTACATTTACGCATGTCTGCTTCTACCTTGTAAGATTTGCATGATCGATTTAAAGCGCATCACCAATGGCAGATCTGATGTCAAAATAAAGAGAGCTTTCAAAAAGAGGTTGTCAACACTACTGGCAAGGGTATTGAAATAAATAATTAAGCGCCCATTCAGGTCTATCTACACGCAGTCGGCTGAGCTTCTATCTACCCTGCTGGTTGAAGTAATGTACGCTACAGCACGCTGCCATGAAGCCCCCCTCCCTTTAATTTCGCTTCATTGTCCACACTTTGTGTGTTAAAGGCTCCCTAGCTACCGCGGCTACCTGTTAATCCCCGGCCCGGACGCAGCCCCACTTCCTCCGGCTGGTGCTCCATTGCTGGGCTTGAGGACCTGTCCAGAGTCCGGTGGTGCTGAAATGGAATTCAGCACCCCCGCTGCAGGGACAGCGGCGCCGGGCTGTCCCGCCTGTCCCTCCCCCTCCATGCTGGCCTCGTTCCCCATGGCCTCGGGATAGGTGTCGACGGAGAGAAACGGTGGTTGTGGGTGGTTTTTACAGCTGGGGTAAAAACTCGGGTGGAACTCAGCGTCGCTCCCTTTCCGCCATCATCACCTACAATTCAGCATCCCGCACGGAGCACGCGCGCTGACGCTTGAGGCCGAAGGAACGCGCTGACGCAATGGGTGGTGACTTGAGTTGCTCGTACGTGCGCGTTCACAGGGCTCAGCTATCTTAAACCTATAAACAGCACGCATCTAACCCACCCTCCTCCTCACCCACACAACCATGCCCTCAAACCCCTACATCCGGAATGGGACATTATATAATTAAGATTTCATCTATATTTATGAATTATATTATTGATTATATGAGATTTCATAACCAGCAGAGCGAAATTAAATGGCCCATGGGCGATATTTGAAATAGGGCTGTACTTTTTGTAAATGTAATTTCCAACTAGCCACCACAGCAGCAGTAATATATATCAGGTATTGGTAGGTTTGTTGTCTTCTTATTGTGCATTTATTGCCCTTAAATATTATGGTTACCAAGCATTGCACTGTTTAATGACTTGTGGAATTTATTTTAGCCTCAGATTCTTCTTATTACATTTATTTTATGAATAACAGCAAATAAACTATAAAGACAGGATTATTCTACTATATACACTCACCGGGCACTTTATTAGGTACACCTGTCCAACTGCTCAATTTCTAAGCAGCCAATCACATGGCGGCAACTCAGTGCATTTAGGCATGTAGACATGGTCAAGACAATCTTCTGCCGTTCAAACCGAGCATCAGTATGGGGAAGAAAGGTGATTTGAGTGACTTTGAATGTGGCATGATTGTTGGTGCCAGAAGGGCTGGTCTGAGTATTTCAGAAACTGCTGATCTACTGGGATTTTCACACACAACCATCTCTAGGGTTTACAGAGAATGGTCTGAAAAAGAAAAAACATCCAGTGAGCGGCAGTTCTGTGGGCGGAAATGCCTATAAAGAATAGCCACAGCAAGTCAATTTATAAAAAAATTCTTTGTAACAAGTATATTATTCTAAAGCTTAAGAACTTTAGATGTTTTTGAACTTACTGTTGACATATATTCAAATTAAAATATAGACACATTTTTCATAAATGTGAGACCAATAGTCTTTGACAATTTAGACCTAGACACTTTTTTTTGCTGTCATTCCGAGTTATCATCCCCTGACACTTACCTGGGAGAGATTTCCATGCATTGATGTATGAGAACACTTTGAGACGTTGCTAGCCTTGGGGGACCCCAAGAGCAGTTTAGGTCCCTTACACAGCAGGCCAGACACAGCTGCCCATTTCTTATGTGTTAAAAGTTGTGAACATGGCTTATATACTTCTATCTATAAACCAACAGTTCATCAAAACAGTTTTAGCAATTAACCAACCTACTTGTTTTAAAAGAACTAATTTAAGAACGTGGATGTATGGTTAGAAAACAGCCTATTCTGACCCCAGGCATTAGTACCAAAGCATGGACCACCATCAACAAACATTTCCATAAACTATGTAAATGCTTGATTATGACTGTTATTTGTTTTAGTGTTTGTCATATCAAACAGCCAAGAACAATACAAAAATATGAAAGCAAATAAATTCAAATAGCAGTAAATATTTTGCTTGTGTAAATGTATACTTCATTTATATGTAGATGTAGAAATATGTGTATTTCAATGCATTAAAAAAGTAAATAAGCAAAATGATCAGTATAAAAAAATATACTGAAATAGAAATAAGGTGATCAACACTCTTAAAAGTGTATAAATTTAGTTATAGGAAACAGACCGTCACTACCAGCAAATCAAATTTTGCTGATAAACTTTATAAAAAGATATCGTGTAGACCTCTCTTCACATCCCACGCTTTGTTTTGACTATTAAATGTACATAAATTCTGCTTCTTATGTCTAAAACCATCTGCTTAGCATTCTCCTCATTTTAAAAAGGGATGGCTGCATCTAATTTCTGCAGGAATGCAACCTTATCTAGAGAGAACTGATGTCAGCAGCACTGGGAAGCCCTTGTTCACTAAGGAACTGATAATTTACATTATTTTCAAATACCAATAATTAAAAAATTTAAATAAGTCATCACTTTCTTCATTGCAAGCTTATAAAAAAATTGCATTTGCATTCAAACTGGATAGAGACATATCTGCATTATTTGTCCAGTTTATTATAATTTCAATTAGTGTTGTGCTAGTCAGTTAGATTAGCTTTTTATTTCCCCCAAACAACCCATTAAGTGGTCTTAATCTCCAACAGGGATGTCATATTTTAAACTCCCAAAGTAAATGAAAAAACAAATTAGATACTAACTTTATTTGTACTAACTTTATTTAGCAATAAAGTGGCAAGCACATAACTACTTTTGATATTCAGGGCATTCAACATGTAAATATATACAAAAAAATATGCAGCAGCACACATTCAACTTAACTCAATCTAAGATCCTGTTTTTTATATTTGCAGAACCTCCAGAAACACACAAACAATAAGGTAAAGACTTTAGATAGAAAAAGGCATTTAAAACCCTTACAGTCATATTGTCAGTTTTAAATAACATGAAAAAAGACAACAGTATGTTACAGAGTCTGTTTCTTCACTGAATGTTTTGATGCTGAGATTCACTGGAAGATGAAATAAAAAGTATAATGAGCAAAAAACAACCTTTAATACTTCATTGGCACGAGGAAATATTGACGTTTAGCTAATAATTCCGATACAGTTGTCCTACATGAGCAAATATTCCATGAAATAAACAATGACAAAATAAAAAAAGGTAGAAAAGATCAGCTGCTAAGTAAAAAATAAGCAAAACTCAGAAAAATATTTACTGTATGTGTGTACGGGCCAAAAGATGGTATACTCCAAATGGTAAAAAAATATAGCACAACACTGATAAAAGGAATGATTTTAAGGTGTGCAGCAACAGCCTTTTCACCTTGCAGTGATTGCTTGGTGCTCATTCATTCTAATAGTGAGCGTTTGCGATTACTGGCGTTTGGCTTTGTAAGGTCGGGAGCGTTTCCTTCGATCGGGCTTCCTCTGCTTGTGCAGCCGTCCGATGCTCACTCCCTGTCGGCGGCGCACAGAAATGTTCTGCTCCACTAGGCTGGCCAACATACCTGTAGAAGATGCACAAAGAAATCGGTGATTGTAAGAAGAAAAAACAAGCATTAACAGGAAGTTTTTTTTATTCATCGAAAGCTAAGTTAATACAGAGAAAAAACTGTTTAGAAATTAACTTAACCCGTTTATCTACTCACTACAATTATTTAGGGCAGATATCCTGAAGTACTACATCAGTTTTGTATAGAAAAGCCCAGAAGTTAAGCACTAATTATTACCAGATATAACTTCTGAAAGTACACCTGTTTCTGGACTTTTGGTAATTCTGCATTGCTTAACTAGAAACACATTAAACTTTGCCTAAGAGGCAAAAGGGTCAAAATCTACTTGTAAAATATATTCAAATCCACCAAACATTTCTGCCCTATTTTACATTTTTGTCATTTTTAACTTGGAAATAATGTTTTTTTTTTTTTATCTATTTGAAAAAAGTTTATTGTCCCTTTATTTATTGGGACAATAAAGGATTATTGTTTCATAAAATCTATATAGATATCCTGAACTGCAAGAACAGCGATAGATTATAAACGTTGCAAGCAAAATAAAATATGGATGTAAAATCTTCGAGGGCAGGGATTACCTAAAAGAGAGAAGGACCTGATCAGTTAATTAAGCCAGAGACCAATCCATTATGAAGTTTACTAAAAAATATCCTGAGCATTAAAAGGAGGGTTCACACAGCCAGAAGATTTCTGCCCCAATGTTTCCATTTCACGAGCAATAATCCTGCACTGTGGTGCCCTAAGAGGGATCAGGGAAATCTTGGCCTGATATCCTGTCGAATGTGGTGTCTCCTGAATCATACGCGTCCAAAACATTTGCTGGGGTTTGAAAATTTGAACTTTTGCAGCTCGAAGCACCAAGTCAACCATTCCAATAAGCTGACCATGGCGCTGGCTGGGAAACAGTGATTGCATTAGAGCTGTGATCTCTCCTCTTGCACAGCTGTCAGCATAAAACCATAAAACTGAACAAGAACATATACTGTATAAAGAGGTTACACTCCACTTAGGTTAACATGAAAAGCTCAAAACAATATTCACACTGCATAAAAGAGCCATCAGGATAACTCAAAATGTATCGATCATGACCACACTAATTCAATGTTAATTTATTCCTGCTTGTTTAAATTCTCTGATCTGGTAGAATTGTAAACCTCACAATCAAAGTTTAAAGCTAAAAATAAACAGTTACCAGACAGAATGCACAAACCCATGGCTAAGAGAGTGGAAGGGTATAAGTACAACTATAATCTAAATTTAAGAACTGTATAAGTTTGAATAAATTGGAAAAAATTGTATTTCAATAAATGGTGTGAAGGTTGGAACAAAGTCAGTGTTGAATTACAGCAAGTTTAAAGGTATCTTTCTGGGTGGATCATCAAAATAATTGGTCCTCCTTATTGTCAATCATTCTGGTAATACGTTTACATAATGGTCGCCCTACGTGCTCATCCCCATTTATGCATACCGGTGGTGTGACATAGTGGAGAAATTGCAAATCTTCTTTTGGAAAGTAAATTTATATGAGTGATGCAAACACGTGCACGAGGAGAAAGGGGCTCGTGCACGTCCTCGCACGGGTTTAATAGGCGTTCTCCCTCTGGAGTGGCTACAGGGTTGACCATGTCCATTTTTTATTTATTTTTTTTAAGTCTAGAGGGCGGATCTTTTAAATATTCGTCAAAATCCTCCACTATACTTTTTAGCATGAGACTGTTGAGGAAAAGGCTTAAAATGGTTTTCTTAAAGAGATATGAGATGAAGGGTGGTTAACATGTGTGTAAATATTTTTTCAATAATTTATGTGAATGTATAAATGTATGTTTATATGAACCTAAACTAATTTATTTGCTCTCTTAACAGACTTTAGAAGTATGAATCAGGATGAATGTTGATGTTAAGGACTATAGGAAGGTGAAAGGGGTATGATTAAATAAGTCTCACTTCTTCATATCAGACCTAAGCACTACATAGATATAA